GCTTGGTGCTGCTGCAGCACAGCCGCCATCCTCGTCGTCAGACCCCCCAAGCATGTCTGCTGGCAAAGGGAAATCTTCCCACAAGTGGATATTGTCAGACCACAAACTGGCACGAACCTCAGAGTTGATGGCTGTTTGGCCACCCAGTCTCCCACACAGATGGTGCTGCAAAGTACTGTTTCATGTGTTTTTTGCATGCTGTACTGTGAATAATATTCTGCCCTGCCCAGGATTTGGAGACGGCTTCAAAGATATTGAAGCAGCAGGCTGAACAAGACAGCATTCAGGAGTACGGAGGTGAGCCATTCGTGATGGGGAAGCAACTCTGGATCAAGTGGATCAGTGCTTCATCTCAGCCGGAGCTTGAATTTTCCAATGCATGTCCTTTGCTGTTTGGGAAGTCCAATGCTTCTTGCCAAATGTATAAGAAAAGTTGTATTCATTCACCAGGTGCAATAAAGTTGGTGCGTCCATGATGCTGTGGTCATGATGTATGTGTGCAGGTGTTCTGCCAGTTCAGGTTTCCTTCAAGCGTCGAAAGGTTCAACTTCTCAAGATGCTCTTCTTTGTCCCCTGGGACGTCATGGCAAATGAGGAGAGCTTACGAGCCACCATTCTCAAGTTGCAGGAGGATGTGCAAATTGAGCTATTTGGTTTGGCCACGGCACCGCCAGAGGATTCTGCTCCTCCTCGAGGAATGGAAGTTCTGAGAAGCATGTTCCCTGAGCTCACCTTGAAATGGCTTCACATTCCATCGGACCTCAAAGATGAATGCTACTTGTATGTCTTGAACCCGGAAACTACATCCATGAAAATGGAGGGGTTGCAACTTGGACTTGAACTGTTTCTTTTTACAGAAACATGTTCTTTCCCACCCCACTGTCTTGACCGGCTGTATTCTGTGGTGCGTTCTGAGTAGCTGGTGCACGCCTAGGTATGTGTCAAATGGTGGAAAGTATGATCGCTGCCACCTGGGTCACTTCCAACAGATTGGGATCGACAAAGCTGTCCTGGAAACCATACAGAAGACTGTCAAAGAAAAGACATGTCTCGGATTGCACAAGCGGTTGGCAGGCTCTCATTCAGATGATGCAATCGCTGGTCTTGCTGCAAAGATTCTCGAATAGAGCCATGCTGACTTTGAGGTGGAGACGGCAGAGCTTGCGAGGTACTTCTTGCACGCCTCTCATTCCAGTGTGCTGATTGATGCAATCATACAGATGCACGGCTTCAGCACCTCATCGAGGTTCAGTGCTTTTGATACCAAGGCAGCCTGTTGGGCTGTGGTTCTGTGCGGAACTTCTTTGTTGGAAGCAGCTGAGTCAGCTATTAGGCGCATTTCTTGGGAAATATAGTTGTGCAAGTGTTTGTTGGAAAAGGTGTCCAAACAGAACGTGCTGGGAGGGTCCTTAAAATTCTAACCACCCCTGAACAGGGCTGGCACGCGTACGGCTTTTGAGCAGGATGATCCAGGGGCATGGAAGCTGCCTGTGGAAACTGCATTGAAGGACTATATTGCATTTCAGCCAGTGAAAGACCTCCTATTGTTGCCAGATTCTTTTGCTGCAGTTGGAGCGCTGGTGGAATGGAAGCAGTCGAAAAACGCTTGCCTTCAGAGACAAGAAGACCTGTTCAAGACCACCTGCGCTGGGGCATGCATCACCCAACTCAAACGGAAGATTTCATCACTCACTGATGACTCGGTGGAATTGTCGGCAAAGGATGCCATATCCAAGTTGGGTGCTGAGCACGAGCAGATAGCTTCAGGAAGGCGGAAGCGCCGTCGTGGGCCTTGCAAAATCAGGAAGACTTATCACAGGAAAGCAGGAGATAGCCTGACATTGGACCGCAAGAAAGAAATTGAGACTTGCTGGCCTTCAGTAACAATTTGTTTTGGTTCAACTGGCGGGCTGCACCATCTTTTGCCTGCAATCCTTTCTTTCTTAGGGAACTTTTCCTGTTTAATGCCTTTGAAGAGAGTGGGTCATCCAAAAAGAACCAAATCTGTTGAACAACTTTGTATAAACTCCTTTTCAAAACTACCCTCAGAAATTCATTTTTGAGAGCTGACAAA